GTCGCCGAGCCGAGGTGGATTTTCAGAGACTTGGAAACCAGAGTTATGTTCATAAAGTTAATTTCCAAATAAATATAGATATTTTACCTACTAACATTTAGAAAAATACATATGCATTTAATATGAATGATTTTTAAATTATTGATAATGGTATAATACCATATTGCATTATTTTAAAGATGATGCTGGTCCATCATAATCTAACATAATAATACATTGTGTCTGTTTAAATAATATATCTTTACCGTATTTTGTGGCTATGCATGAATATATGAATAGATGACTTAACAGAAATTAATAATGRGAAAATTGCCTCAACATTCTAAATCGAGTTTTCTAAATTTGTTTGAATCGCATGGAAACCATRTTTTTGCTATATGACTTTTGACGAAAATTGTTCTTCCATACAATTTTTTGTCATATACCTATATAAAATATTTCGATGCCATTCTAAGACAAATAAGACCACTAATTATGTATTTAAATTAATGTTTTTGATGGTATGAATTTTATTTGTATTTTATTTGCTTGCAGTACATTTTAACAATTAAGTTAAATTTAATGTAAAATAATTTTCTAAATATATGCATATATGCTATAAATCAATAATCAATGATTATTATTCATCATTAATATTAATCATAATAATAATGTCATAACTATATAGGTTGACAGTTGTCTGACATTAAAAACTATAACATGTATTAATCCAACGGTTGCTTGTCGCCTGTCGGCATCTTCAAACACGATTATTAATTTTCAGTGTACTTATTATATCTATTTTAACTTTAAAAATCTCTCAAGTATGAAAATTTTATTTTATTTTAAACAAATTTTCTTTTGAATATATTCATATAAATTCCTATYAAAATTTTTACTCCTATAAGTAGATTTTAATAATATGTTATTACTATTTAGTACTTACTACTGTAATTGTAACCCCTCTGGAAAAGTCCTGAGAGAGGGTTGGTGGGTGGGTCCATGGTATCCTAATATCTTGTGGTTAAAATTTACAATTGATAAACTCTAATGTTTGTGCCACTGTATCGTGACTAATTTCTGTGTTTGTATGATTATTTGTTAGGTAAACCGTGCCCGAATAGACAGTGTCATGGACACTTAGAGATTATGCCCTGTAGAGGACACTRTGGTTACCCTGTCACACATTTTTGGAGGCATACAGATTATGCAATTTTTTTTCAAGCCAAAGGTGTGCACGACCATCTGAGRCCTGAAGCCAAGTCTACTTCAGAAGCACGAAGAAGCTTTGGCACCAGCCGCAAGATACGAAACTGCATGATCCTGACTCGTGATGTTCCTTTCAATAATAAAGTAAGATTGAATAAYAAATTACATTTAGAATTTGAAATATTAAACTTTCAATATTTGCCCAGTATTACAATATAATAATTATAATGATTTTCGCACCTACACCATTCATATCGTGAGCGTATACATAATTATACATAACGATAGTACGAAACGAAATAATATAGGTGCCTAGTCATTAATATTAACAATTTATTTTATAACAAAACATTTTCATATTTATAAAGTAAAAATGTGTATGTGTAATTCAAATATTAAATCAAATTAATTCAAGTCGTTCAAACATGTCCAATATCTTGTATAAATGTATAATTATTACATTCATGGTGTGATATATTACGATTATGATTTTATTGCTCTCGAAAATATATTTAARCAATCTCAGAACTTCGTATTATGGTTTATCGATAAAAAAATAGCTAGCTTATTGAATTATAAAATAACAAAATAATATGTAGTGTGCCTGAGATACCTATTGACAGTAAAAAAAAAAAAAAAGGTAGTAATAAAAACCAAATAAATGAGATGCAGTGTCTAATAATAATAATATATAGTAGGTCTGCAAACATGTACAGCGGTCATCAATAACATAAAATACCTAACAATAATTATACGATATACACTGGGCACGGACAGCATAATCTGTCTATTCGATAGCTTGATCATTATCATTTCAGGCCGTGATTGTGTGTGCGTGCATGTGCGTATAGTGTTAAGACGCGTTGTAAATCAATGATATACAGTATACACAATGACGAAAGCGAAACCAGTGTTCACAAAAAATAATATTCTGGTTGGGTTATTTGTTAGGCTCTACGTCGGAGAAGTTTATGCTCGGGTGAACCTATTTTCCTTCCCTTATCGGGACGCTCGTCACTAACATTAAAATATTTTAAATGATGATGCTTAAAATTTTAAATTACAAATAGAGAACATTCTGAGAATCCGTCTTCGTAGATAATATTTATTATATTTAACGTACTTGCACAAATTAATTGGAAATATACGTTCGTARTAGTTATTATTAATCACCTGTATTCATTCGTAATAAATTATGTTTTAAAAATAAGTTATTCTCTAGAATCGGTTAATAATCAATATTATGGACGTTTTCGTAGTTATAATATTTTGGAAACCTTGAATATAATATATTTAAATTTTATGGGACATATTATTAAATTACATTAAAATTTTAAACTTAAATCAAAAGTAAACATATTATGGAATGTCACGGTGAATGTGTTAATATCTAGAACTAAAAAATTATGTAATAATTCTCGAGATRACATCTTATATCAATCGTCTTGTATACATCGTACATGGAATATAATATAATAATTATAATGAACTGGTGTAAAATAATATTATAGACATCGCRTCATCGTTTTCCTGGCCCATTCGCGCTCTGAGAATAGTTCTCCCCGTCTGTTTATCGTCTGTGGTGCTTTATCTTGTCAGTACACAACTGCATTCACATGTATGTTTAGCAAGTTGACATCGATAATGCTAATCATCCGGTTCGTTTATATACTAAATAGGATGGACTTTTGAGCGAAATCCTGTGAATTGATTTTGTACTAAATTTATTATTGCTCGCCGACCTTTTGTTGAGACGCTAGACAGCTGCTGCAGCCATAGAATAATATAATATTAAAAWAATTATTATTATTGTTATGTGTAATTATAGTGCGCATGCACGCACGCGTATTAGGTATGTTAATTCAATTTTTGTAGGTGCCATATAAATCATTTCGGCGGAGAGGTCAAGTTATATGCAGAAAGGCAATAATAATGTTAAGTGTGTGGCWTGACGTGGCGCGTTGGCTGTTACCAATCGCGGAATGCGACTGGGAATAATTAACGGCCACAATTACTAGCTCCCGGATGGGTGACCGCCCAGGTTCATAGTAGTTAAAAACCTTGCCACACCGGGGTTGGTAAATTGAGTCCCAAATGACTTCTAACTCAGTAAGTTGAGTCCCGGAAAAAATAAGGTAGTAGGTAATTTGAGTCCCTGGGAAAAACGATTTATATGCATTTAAAATTTAAAAATATGCACTATAAAATGTTTATTTGTGATTTGTKGACTGCATCTATATGATTTTGAGAATAGAAACATGCATTTTTATTGCATTTTTATTAATTATATAATTATTTTTTTCTCCAACGATAAAATAACAATACTGTCTTAACAATACCAAAACACTCACAGTCAATAAAAGTCGATAACTTT